ATTTAAAAATCCCAAGACGTTGATTTGATTATCTTCGTTGCCTATCACCAGTTTTAGCCTATTTCGTTTTACTTTTAGTGGGCCATGATTAATAAATCTATTCTCTATCGTCCGGAATTTAATTTTGGTGAGTGGGGTTAAATTGGGATACCTCTCATTAAAAGTTCTTATTGTCCTTTCTAAAACTTTTTCGCACTCGCCATATGTATAATAGTTATTTATGTATTAAGGGCATAATAAGGTTTTTATGGTCCGAGGCGCTATGCCAGCAATGCATACAAAACTTTATGCACGATTAATATATTATTATTTTTAATATATTATTGTTTTTTAAAGACCTTTACGTCAAAGAATTTTTGTAATAATTGTCATATTATAATGTCAACTGACATCAGTCAGTTTTAAAGTTTAAAGATGAATGAAATTGAGAAAGCAGCTGAAAAGGCGAAAAATTGCGGCCTGCTGCCGAAAAAATCAAAATCTTTATACGAAAAAACTTACTTCGAATATATCAAATGGTGTAACATTGTTGTTTTTAATTTTTGACGTTTTATTATAGCCCGCTGGGCCATAATAACGCCCGCGGGCTATAAAAAGACGTTTACGTCAAAGAATTTTTGTTATAATTGTCATATTATAATGTCATCGTGCATAAACATGTTTAGAATATCTTGATTAGTGTAATTATTATCATCCATTGTAACACAATTGTCAGAGACGTTGACATTGACATTATTTTATAAATACGAAATAAAAGACAATCCAACGCACACTACTCATATTAGAAATAAAAAAATAAGCGTTTTTTTCACATTTTTTGTAATATCTCTGTAAATATTGATTTTAGGTATAGGGAATGCTGCAGCATTTCAATAGAAAACATTATTTTGTGTCCAATAATTTGAAAATTGTATGGTAGTTTCATTTGAAATAAGAAAGTTATTGGTATTTTAAGTGACAAAAAAGTCAACGTAAATACCGGACACCCTGTATAAAATTTTCAAATACTATTAATGGCTTTCGATAGAGTGCTCCTTAGTTAATTGTTACACCAAAAATTAACTTTTTAACATTACAATTAGTGGTAATACAGACATATTAGTAAGACAATCCATCTGTCAAAATTTTTTAAAAAAATTAAATATCTCAAAAACTGTTAAAAATAAAAAAAATAATCAAATTTTAGTATTTCTAGAATTTTACGTAGAATTCAAAAATGCAATAATATTTATATGGTTCCATTTGAAAAACCAAAGTTGATATCACTTCCGGTTTAACCGGAAGTGATAACGCATTGAAAATAATTTTTAAAAGTAGTTTACTATGGCTTATAATTGCTATACAAATTTCAAATCGATATCTTTTTCCGTTCTCCATAAACTTCTAATGAATAAGTTAGGTGAATCACCCTGTATAATAACATATGTAAGGTGTAATAATTATAACAATTATAATTTTTTACATACGATGCCCTTGATTTGCTTTCATTGTTGCCACTGTGCGTTTTATTTTAATAGTTTCTTTTTATATACGCAAATATTTACCTATCTAACCATTGTTCCATACAATTCTTCTAGACGTAATATCGTTTGCAAGTATTTTACTGGAAAATCGGGTATTTTCGTAATATTTTCGGGAAAAATCGGGTAATTTGAAAATTTTGATCAAAATAATAACTAAAGAAATATTCAGTAAATAATAAATATTAAATACAATTGTATATTTACTAAATATGCACAATTATTTTATTCTATCCTGTTACATTTTTATTGACTTAAATAAAAATTTTAAATTAATTTAATTTATTTTTCAAATCAGGGTGAATGCGCTAGTAAATTTAAAATATAACTAGGTTTTTTGTAATTTATGGTCAGGAACTTTTATGGCAACACTGTACGTAAACACGAAGATCAACCATATTTGTTTTGTGAGTCTGTCGAAAATATCATGTCTATGGGTTGCGAAGAATTCTTATAGTTATTATACCTTATGTAATCAACAAGGGATCTGTATGTACACAAACCAAACGTATGTCTCAGTTAAACTGTTCTTCCCTATATTGTAAACCCTATCCTTTTTCTATGTTGTAAACATTGCTTCCGTGTTATAATTTTAAGGCTTAAGCCTTAAAACCACACAAAACAGTGTTTATAAATACTTTTCTTTGTGTTTTCTTTTGAAATAACCAAATACAACATCTCTGAATAATTCCGGATATTTATTTTAATCGTTATAGGTATACCTACCATTTCTCTGCAAAAGTCTTATTAAGTCTTATTAACACTTCCAGTAGACTCACAAATCTTGCTATTAGTCTGACTTACTAAGACATATTCATACTTTTTCCGACTTAATCTGACTTTTCGACCTAATAAGTCTTATTCAAAGTTTTTAAGAGAAGGTAAGACTTTCAAAACTCTTACTTTTACTTATTAAAACTTTTTCAGAGAAAAATTTCCGCAAGGGTGCCGACCAGAACGTATGTTCAACCCATTTGGATTTTGCTCAAGAAACTTGTTGCTGCTCGATAGTTCCAAAAGGGCTAAATTTTCTGCAAAACAGCTCATTCAACCGACCAAAATAGCCCTGCGACTTTTTTATGTTCCCCATTCTAAAATTGCAACTTCGTGCAAAGGAACTGTTTGGGAAAAGCGCTGGCATATGTGAATGTTGCCTTTAATGGGGTTAATTTTAAGGTCGTAAATAAATGAGTCGATTGACAAATAGCGTACCGAGCACGTGGCTTTTACGCGCAAAATGTTTATTCTAGTGAGTTGGTAAAATGTTATGAGAAGTCATTGTAACATTAAAAATCATGAAATTATATATTTTATTATTTAAGTTGTACATATTATACGACGCTCTAAAGAAAATTAAACACCAAAGTTACATCTGAAGTAATATTTAACAATAAATAATTCTTAGCTACGAAAACTCCTCACACAATTTTATCAGCTTAATCGAAGCAATTTTCATTCCAATATACTGTTGCTTCATGATAGCTTCATCCGCACACATTTCAAGCTTCAACTTGAACACAAGTTTTACCAGATCCTTGACAAATTTAATAAAATTATCAGAATACTTAGTATTATTTGGTCTTCCATAATATCTCTCCACATGACAGGCAATATTTATGTTCTCATATTCCATTTCGTTTGCAGTATTTTTTTGGCGTTGGTATTTTGCCTTTGACTCTTGCAAAACACGGTATAACTTATTGTGCAAAGTTATTCGAACTTTTGTGTCGTATTTTATTTGTTTTTCTTCCATTTTGTAGGTATGTTGTATTTGTTTTTGATTTATTTATATTGCTTATTTTTTGGTGTTGTCTAAAAATATTGGATAATGGGTTATCTTTAGAACCAAATATTAATGTAAATCTACAGTGTGTTTCCTTTTGAGTGTGACATTTGGAATAGTACTGAACGCGATGTTGTAGTCAGTTTTACAATAAAACCATGAATAAGCTGTTTTTATGAATTTTGGTCTGCTTTTTAAATCGTGGGAGGTTGGGTTATACCCATTACGCTAAGTTTTTAATTTCCTACGGTAAAAAAAGGGTTTTGAAAATAAAGTGTCCACACTCAAAAGGAAACACACTGTATATTTAAATGTAAATAAATAAAGAATTATTTAAAAAGGATATATTATGTAATGTAAAGATAACTATTGCACGTATAAGATCAAGATTAAAAACAAAAACTTAGCTGCTGTATTTAAGCATTATATTTTATTTAACAATGTATTTAGACACATTTCAAAATGTATCGTAATATAATATTTTATATTTAATTGATAGAAACATTGCAGGTAGCAAACATTTTTTCCCAGTGGGAGTAGGGACATGGCCCGAAAACAGTTTTATAAAACAATTATAATTTTCTTATATTATATACATACTTATAATACATAGTATAATACCTACAGTTAAATTCTAATTTAATATACATATATACAATTTAACATTAAATTATTATTCCTCGCACAATTTAACCAGTTTCAAAACGGCTGTTTTCATTCCAATATACTCAGGGGTAATGTTCTTTTTTTTCACGTTTATCTCCATTCTCTCCTTGGACGTGGCATCAATAAGTCTGTATAAAAATTTTGTAAACTTGTTGCTAAATCGGTTCTCATCCTGTCCATGTTTGTGTTCCAGTCTGTAGGCTATATTGATGTTTTCATATTCGATGCGGTTGGCAACGTTGTTGGTCAGGTTTAATTTGGATTTGCATGACGCAAGAATCGCTTTTAGTTTTTGTAGCTTCGTTTTTTGAGTAGACAACTTCGATTTTGTATCCATTTCGTATAAAGTTTTATTAGATGGCGACATTGCCGGGTGAGTTTTCTTCTTGGTTGTGTTTCAGTTTTTTTAGATTGTTTTATATATGTATACAAATAATACCTATACCTCACAATAGCAGGTATCACTCGATAATTAAAATAAAAACAAAGTTAAGTTTAGGTATGTTAAGATACAATTGTTACCTGTCTAGAGATAAATTGTATTTTGAAGTAATAAAACATTTGGTAAATCCGATAATTTTATAATCCTGAGCATGTAATTAATTTATTTACTTTATAAGATTAAACAAAGTTTTTAAAATTATTTTTAATCAAACCCTGCATATTAGTATTTAGATATAATAAAAATAAAAATAAATTTCAATAACTTTGTGGAGAAAATGGGTTTTATTTTGTTTTGTCCACTTTTGGACAAAATTGAGTTAAAAACACTTTCTTGCTAAACGGACTGATTTCTATAGTACACTATATATCTATATATATTAAATTAAATTATATTACGATTTTCTTCAGAAAGTTTAAAATGGTTTTTGGCTTTACAAATTACAAAAGTCAGAGCGCGTGAATTCAACTGAAATTCGTGGTAAAAAGGTTTGAAGTGACCCTTAAACATTCTGTTCTTATCTATTTGTGAAAATTTAATTTTTCCAATATTTAAATACCTTAATCTAATTTTAACTTTTGTGTTTTAGCCCAACAGAAATAGCAGAGATGGAAACGGTGCTGTGATCCAAAAGGAAAAATAAAGTTTACGGACAACACCAAACTTTTAATAATGCGTATTATTTTAATGTTTAAGATTATTTAATTTTCATTATAAAATCACTCTACTCGCACATATATTCATGAATAAATGTTGGAGAGAGCTAAGCAGAAAATAAACTCTTATGATGTGGTGCATTGTTAAATAGTTCAGTGTCGATATAATTTTTATTTACTTATAGATATAAACAAAGACTCCTATATACGTATAATATATAATATACAACTATTAACATAAGTATGGTATAAAAAAAGCTGAAAGGAAAATAAATTTCGATAACTTTGTGGAGAAAATGGGTTTTATTTTGTTTTAATCACTGCCGTTTTAAAGTATTCTGCCTGCTGTACTTTAATAGAAATACAGGGTGTTTATTAAATGCCAAATATTTTTATATTGAAATGAAAGTTTTACAAAGCTGCAGAATTTTATTAATTACAACGTTTTTACTTTTATTAGTAGTTTAATTTAACAAACAACCTGTACACAGAAATTTTAATTCTTCTTTCAGCTTCAAAAATAAATTATTTTTATGTAGATAATTATTAACGTAAATAAACGTTATTTGTAAAAAGTGAAGAGTCGTTTATAGTCATGAATACATACAAGATAAAACGTATGTTATTATGTTAGGATGTGAGGAATAAAATGAAAAATTAAAGGGGCGGAGAGTAGATAGCAAAATATCTGCCGACAAATATTATTACTGTTATAATAAAAGTAATTACTTGCAACTTCGATACGGATCTACATTTTCAACATAAAAAATTGTGTCATCGAAGGAGCAAACATTATTTTATCAGAATCAATGAAAACCCTAATATCGATTTTCTTATTCCACATCGCATACTTTTTTATTTTAATTATGAATTGTTTACATGAACGATTCTTCACTGCTTTACATGGTTGTTGCTAAAATGTTGTTGCTGTTATTGTTGTTGCATACATAATATATTATGTATCTGAAATATATAAACGGCCTCTAGAAGTAGATAAATACTATATATATGCATACTATACCATAATACTATAATTGTCTTTTCATTTTATGTAAACAATTTATCGCGTTTACAGAATTGAAATAAATTATTTAATATGCCGCCTACAACTTCCCGAAAATAGAAGTGTAATCTAATAATTTGTAAAAAAAAGGAATTTATTTTTTATTACTTGTACCTTACGTTTGAAATTAATACCAAACTGTTTGAATTAAAATCTTTTAATCTAAAATAAAGAGCATCATATATTTAAATTAATCGCTTCATATATAAAAGCTCTGAAAATCCATTATGAAAAGACAGGGTAATTTTATAATCTATAATATAAATATGAGTAAGAGATAGATAGAAATAAATGTGAAGAATATATTGATGTCTATAGTATAGTTACAATTATATTCGTGTATTCTAAATATAAAGTTTAATGGAATTATAACAAAAAAGATATTGTGCATTAAGTTAATATTAAAAGCACCATTTGAATTTAATTTCTATTGGTCGTTTATATATTTCACCTAAAATTATATATCCTAGTATCTGCACATTTTCAAAAATATTTTTGTATAAAAATAACTTCTGTTAAAATGTACCCCTTATTGCGATATGTAGCTCAATTTTTTTACCATTTTTGTATGAAATTATTTACTATGGAAATTTGCGAAGCTTTAATCTAATAAAAAGTCCATCCATTTGAGTTTTATCTTGTTTTAAGTTTTTAAAAAGTAATAAAGCAGCAATTTATGTTTTTTTGTGGTGAACAAAAATAATATTTGGAAAAGTTTAAAACAAGAGAATAAGCTGATGGATTGATGTTTAATAATGTGGTTTACTGTATGGGTGTTTTGTTAAAATAAAAACATAAAAACAAATGTAAATAAAATGCAATAAACTTATATTTAAACAAGTCAATAATATAGATCAGTTAATGTTAACTATGTAACCATTATAATATGTTTCAGTAAATAAAAAATAAACTAAAAATTGAATAAATTTATTATTTAAAACAGAAAATAAACGAAATAATCTGCTGAATTACACTCTTTAAATATTACTTTGTGTTAATTTAGTAATAGCGTAAGGAATTTATCTTCAGTGACTTTACTAACATGTGATATTAAATTAAATAAATATATGAAAATTGTACAATTAAAACTATTTCTGTTTGACTTTAGAGTTTGGTAAGTATTTAGCTAATACCTTTAGACAAAAATATTTTGCAGAAAAATGCATCTTTTGGTTTTTCAATTTTAAACTTGTACCTACATACTATTTTTATTATGTTTTTCTTCATCCTATGCAGAGCTGGGAGTATCTTGAAAAAAAGAAATAAAAGTATCTTAGATACTTAAAGTATCTAAGATACTTTATCTTACATACTTTTTATATTGGACAGAAAGTATCTTTAACTTAGTTACTTTAGAAAAGTATCTTGTAAGTTACTCGGTAAAGTAACTTAGATACTTTAAAGTAACTAAGATACTTTTTAAAGTAACTTAGATACTTTTCAGTGTAACAGATACTTTCTTAGAGAAAATTGGGGGAATTCCAGAATGATTCAAAGTAATAACCTAACCTACAACTTGTTGAATTTTTATAATTTTATAGTTTTATTCAAACTTAAAAGCAGGGACCCGGACCCAAATGAAATAACGGTTCCTGTCCGGTTCCGAGAGAAGTATCTTAGTTACTGAAAAGTATCTTGTAACTAAAGATACTTTTAACTCAAAGTATCTAGTTACCAGAGGTAAATAGGTTATTTTGTTTAAAGTACCTATCTTAGAAAAGTAACTAGATACTTTTCAGAAGTAACTTTCCCAGCTCTGATTCTATGTAGCCATTTTTTTAAAACCATTAATGATACAATATTGCTATCAATATTAAATTTTTGGATCTAAAACGCATAACTAAGTTTTTAGTACTAAGTAAAATATATGTAGATAGAAACATGATTTAATTAAATGTTTTGTAAATAGTATAATGCTTTTAAAGGATCATTAGTCAGTTAAATCAATAAAATAATATGTAGGATGAAATAATAAAAAAATGTTTTTCCTGTGTATTTAAAAATGGAGAATTTTTTAATTTGATGATTTTAACTAAATTCAATTATTTCAGATTATTTAAGTTATTTTACTTAAAATTTTATTTTACTTTTTATAAATGAGGGTTTAAAATACACAGGGTGTCCCGAATATGAAGCCGCTAACGGCCATTGGGTAGATATTTTAAGTGATAAAAAACGACTTGATAAGAAATTGTTTCTTATTTAAATAAATAGTCTAAAAACATTAAAATAACAAAACAAAATTGCATTTTATAACCCGAAATCTACCGAATTTTAGACAAAAGTTGCGTAATAAGAAGTCTAATAAAATAGCATTTAAAAATTAGAAGAAAAAAAGCAGTTCTCAAATAATTTGAAAAAAACTAAAAACCAGTCAAAACCAAAAATCTTTATAGCTTCGTTATTCCTGGGAATTTTGAAGTTTTATATGTAAACATACGCATTTATCTACAATTTTATCAAACAATATTTTTCTCGCCTACTGGATTTTAAGATACCACCAACATCTTTTGTTCGTCCTAGGACAACCATTATGGAATCCAAACTACATAAGTCATACCGTCTATTATAAAAACAAAAGATGGTGATGGCAACTCAAAACATAGTAGCAAAGAAATTGGATGAAAATCTAAATTAATGTTTTGTACATGTAAAACTTACTTTGTTTTAAAATTCCCTGGAATAACAAAGTTATAACGAATTTGGTTTCGAAAGGTTTTTCAAATATTTTGAGATCCACTGGCTATTTTTTTAATATATAAATATCATGGTTTGTAATTATGAAACTTTTCTCTAATTTAACCGACCTTGTAGCTCTTCAAATAAAATACACATGGTACACCCTATATACCTCTCACTTGATATGACGTAATATTTACACCTCCAATAAAAAAATACTTGGTGCGGACTAATAACGGGTTTTTTTGGGCACAACAAAAATTAAAAGCACACAAAGCAAAATTGAATGAATTAACAAAAAGAATAGTGATTAAAAACATTTTAACGAAAATCCTATACAAAATTGAGTGGCTTAGCATATAAATTTAAAAAAAAACACATACCTAATTTAAAATATTCAATATCTAATCACGGTTGTATGAAAACAAATCAAATAAAAAAATGTCATTAGTTTCTTTAAGGGGTTATATACATTTGTGCTGGGTCAAAAAATCAAATTTTTTTATTGAATATTCCTACAATATATACTATATATAGAATATGTATATAGAATATGCACTTAAAATTTCATCAAGCACTAGAACATGTTATAGTAATTTATAGCGCGTTACCTCACAAACATTTCAAATTGAATTAACTTAAAACTTCAAACGCGTTTATCTCGGAATCGTATTTTTTTGAAAACTGCCGTTGCCGTCAGCATGATTTCTCGAAAACCAATTGAGCGATCAATCTGAAATTTGAATGTGTTGTTCCTAATTACAATAACCCCTTCGTGAACGAAGGGAATTTCATTCGACGAACATTTCTATTTTTTTCGGTCGGAAAACTCAATTTTTGTACCCTCGAAAATCGATTATTTTGGGAAAATCACCGCCATTTGCGTAAACATTTTTTTTTGCAAAACCCTTTATTCACGAAGGGGGTGACACTATGTTCTAATATGGATTTTTTTCATTAAGATCTGTTTGGTGATTTTGGATATTTTACGCTCACCGCAAACGTTTCGGGGCAAGGGCTGTATTTTTTACAATTTTCCATATTTTCGCATATTTTTTTTTTAGAAATACTTCGAAACATACCCTATTCGATACTTTATAGTTCGTTTCAATATAATTATTATTATATACCAAAAATAAATCACCAAAAATCGTTAATTTTTTGAGCTCATATGTATGTAACCCCACAATTGTGTGTAAATCACAAACTTTGATAAATTTTAACTTTTTTAAAATAACTTCTATTGTATTGTCTGTATGACCGCAATGCGACAAGTTTTTTTACCCTCAAAATAAAAAATCATAAACTGATTTTCTTATTTAACAAAAATAAAACAGACTTGCAGCAAGTACTAATTTAATGTTTAAAACTTATATATTATTGCTGTTAAAAACCTTGAAGAAACGCCTTTATGATAATGTTATTAGTTCACTGAGAAGAGAATACAATTAATCATTTTTTACATAGCCTCTTGTAAAACTTTTAAAACGTAGGTAAATGTAGTAAACTTACCTGTGTACTCATAAACTTAAATAAACATAATACCATTATGTTTACGCTTACAGGTATAGGTCTGCACTTGCACTTGCAATTAACTGGTAATTAATACTTTAAATATTAGGTACCTTAAATCTGCATCAGGTTTGAAAAATCAAAAACCAAATCGTGAACTTAAACTTTATTCTTGCATATAGTCTGGAAACAAAGTCGCTTCTCTTTCTTTTGTCGATTTTTTACTTGAAGCAGCATAAAGAATATTAAACAATTCACCTAAAATACAAATAAAAACGTCAAATTTGTGCAATTTTAGTATATGTAATCTAAATATACTTACTGGCTGGATCTTCGGAACTAATTTTGTTATATTCTTCCAAAGTCAAATACCTTTCCTGGAAATCTGGAAACAGCAATGACGTCAATTTCGATTCTGCCTGTTTGTACAGATTTGGCAGGTCTGTGGGGCGGTATTTTGACAAAAATTGCGCGTAGGCTATCCAAATGTCAACATCATCTTTGCCAAACTGTTCACAAACGTTTTTATGGACCTTTTATGGACAAATAAAATGCGTATAAATTTATGTCGATTATTCTTTTGTGTATACTAACAACAACGTATGCGCACTTGTTTTTAGAATTGTCAATATTCAAAGGTAACTTGATACCAAATTTATTGCGTATTAATGCATGTAAATATACATTATACTTAATAACAAATAATAATAATATATACAGTTGTCCCGAAAATCGCCCTAACGGTATACCGGGGGATATTTTAATTATTTGTAATTAAAATATCCCCCGGTATACAAATTCCGACGAATACCTAGTTTTTAAATCTTGCCAACGCTGTGTTTTCCCAGGCCGATTTATGAGACATCCAAAACGGTTGTTATGGAAACAAAATATACAACGCCTTTACACACGATATACAAAAACTGGTATGCTGATACGGATGATATAGCTATCTCTCTCGCACCGTGTGACGTCACGTGCGAATCAAAAGCTGACGGGTAACTGGGTTGGAATGTTATTTGCACTGCAAATTTACGTTATATTCGAAAATTTATAAATATAGGGACAGCCTGTGTGCAAACATTAAGAGTAACAAATGTTAAGAGAATGTTAAATTGGCTAGTCCGAATTTGACATTTTTTCAATGTGAAAGGTAAAAAAATTACTAAAATGCATTTATACAGCTACGCCCGCTTTAAAGTATCAAAAGTAAAAAAAATTTCAAAATTGCTTTTTTTACTTGAAGCGAGTTTCTGATACAATTGTGTTTTAATTTTTATTATTAGTAATTACTAATAATAAAAATTAAAACACAATTGTATCAGAAACTCGCTTCAAGTAAAAAAAGCAATTTTGAAATTTTTTTTACTTTTGATACTTTAAAGCGGGCGTAGCTGTATAAATGCATTTTAGTAATTTTTTTACCTTTCACATTGAAAAAATGTCAAATTCGGACTAGCCAATTTAACTTTCTCTTAACATTTGTTACTCTTAATGTTTGCACACAGGCTGTCCCTATATTTATAAATTTTCGAATATAACGTAAATTTGCAGTGCAAATAACATTCCAACCCAGTTACCCGTCAGCTTTTGGTTCTTAAGAACTTATGCAAGCTGTAAAAAAATATGTGGTTATTGTGAAAAGACCTAAAGTACCTAACAGAAAATTGGGTATACCAAAAATTGCCTTTACTCGACGAGTTTTCGTTTCATAACCAGCATACCGGTTTTTGTGTATCGTCCTACTGGGAAAATAATATTTCTAGAATGTTACTGAACGTTACATTTGTTAGGTATAATGTTACAAAAATCCTTGTGGCAATGTTGCAGGAACATTGCAACAAAGCCTTATGTCCGGCTCAGGAACATTACATTTACAAATAAAATGTTGCTTAAATGAATTAATTGCAATGTTACTAAATGTTATTTTTGTTAATGTAAGGTTCCTGCAACATTACAGGAACATTCCAATTAAATTATATATTATAATAATAATTAATTATAATTATTTATCCGCAAGTTATAGGCCTATATATATATATATTAGAAAAAATAGGTTTTCTACTTTACGCCAGTAGTAGGCAACCAATATTGCAAAGACTGAAATGCCTTCCCATTCCGCCACCGAGCCGAGCTCGAAGGGCGTCTCCCAAATGGTATGGTCCAATGACTAATGCACCATACTCACCAACACTGATATACAGACTGTTTCAACCTGTAGGGTCTCATCAGTGTCAGGCAGTCGGTGACGGGAGACACGCATCAAGCTCGGCACTGTTCACTTAGATATAAATGACCAGGACAGCGGCGAGATGCATCGGCAAGTCAGTCTACAAACAACATTGCAAAGATTATCTTTATGCAATATTTCGGATAAAACATTGTCCAAAACTAAAGTTATAATTATAAATGTAATATTATAGTTACAATGTTTCAAAAATCTTGAAAACTAAATGTTTTTACTGTTTATATAAAGCAACAATGCAAAAATCATCTTAATGTAGGTAATATTTCAAATGAAACATTGTCCAAAAGATATCAATGTAATATTATAATTGCAATGTTCCAAAAATCTTGAAAATCTAATGTTTATATTGTTTATATAAAGTAACATTGCAAAAATCATCTTAATGTAATATTTCGGATGAAACATTGCCCAAAACTTATCAATGTAATATTATAATTGCAAGGAGGGTATGAATTACTGTGGATAAAGAACTCAGAATACCGTTACGGTTAAAAATACTGCAAAAAGTAAAAAAAAATGATATCATAATGTTTCAAAAATATTCCCAAACATTTCAAAATAAATGTTTCCATTGTATATTTAAATTTTAAAGTAAAGTTGCAAACATTTTTCATTTGGAAGTTGTGTTAATATTTCAATTGAAACATTGAAAGAAAGTTATGTCTGCAATATTATAATTATTGTAATGTTTAAAAACTTGTATGCAACATTTTATGCTAAATGTTACAAATATAACATTATAAAAACTTTCCATGTGAATCTTTAAATAATGTTTCAAATTTAAGGTTGTTGGAAATTATTATATGCAATATTTCAAATGTAACATTTTATTTATGTTAATGCAAGTAGCACAGGAAATATTTTATTTGTAAAGTCGGCGAACATTGCAGCAACATTTTGTAAGGTTTCTTTGCCAGTGGGGTGCCTTTACAGAGATCTGAAATTGACATGGTTGACCACGGTCTTATACAGGGTGTTTCATACCAGGAGGCGAAAAATGAAATTCTATATTCAAAACGTCATTCTAAATAAAAATCTTTAATACTTTTTTGTTCTATCATTTTTCGTTTTCAAGTTATTCGAGTTCAAAGTTTTGAATTCAAACAATGAAAGGATAACAATATGCAATAATAGGATTCATAATTCTAGCAACTAAAATATACATCCATGGAAACGTATAAGTATTTAAGTTTATAATACAGTTCATTTTTTTTTATCTGGACTGCGGCAACGTTGCAAACTTAGGGGTTTAGTTGGCAAATATTTCTTTTATATTGGCAGCTATAAAACTAAATTAATATTTGTGGTTAAGAAATCAAAAAATATTTTCCTTTTAATAGGTTTTTGACCAAAATAGTATTTCGTTATTGTCCTGTAGGATAATTATTTGTACAGAGACGTTTTTTAAATCACATAAATACATTGGAGTTTGATATTCCTCTGTTTAAATAATTTAAATTAAATTTAATGATTTGACAAAAACTGTCAAATTATGTAAAGCAGAGATACCAATCCTAAAAATACTAATTAAACTGACATAAACAACCAACTTAATAAAAAAACACTAGTCTAGATAAAAAAAATAACCTTATGTGGTCTTCTGCCTTATTTAAGTAATACAACCTGTGAGTTTGTCAGCAAGAATTATTGATTGACAATTGACCAATTTGTAGTTTATACTATTTATTTTTATCTGTAATATTACAGGACATTTTTAAAAACATGGCCTTCAGCATTAATACAAGCTTGGCACCGCAAAACAACAGAATTGTAAACTCGTCCAAAATCTTGTACATTTTGTATTTGCTCCGCCGCATCTATTATTCTTTGCATAAGCTGCTCTTCGGTGGTAATTTCGACTGCATAGACAAGCTGTTTCATGTGTCCCCATAAATAAAAATCAAGCGTATTTAAATCCGGTGACCTAGCAGGCCACAATATTGGGCCACGTCTACCAATCCACCTTCCATTGAAGTTGTTATTCAACCAATTCACTACATTTCTACCAATATGGGGTGGTGCCCCATCGTGTTGAAACCACATTCGATTTAGCAAACCCACAGGGACATCTTCCAGCATTTCATTAAGTTCATTTTGTAAGAACATTAAATAAGATTCGGCATTTAGTCTATTGGGAAGGACTATAATTGGCAGAATTCGCCCGTTGAAAATGCCACCCCAGACATTAATTGAAAATCTCTGTTGGAAATGTCTCACTCTCATAGCATGTGGATTTTCCAACGACCATACATGTTCATTATGGGTATTATTAATACCATCTCTGGTAAAAGTAGCTTCATCTGAGAATACAATAGAAGAAATAAAATTTGGATTTTGCTCATGTTGACGAAGCAGCCATTGACAATACAGAAGTCGTGGCTCGTGATCATTTGGCTGCAAATGCTGAACATTTTGCTTATGGTACGGGTGCAATACTTCTCGGTGTATGGTTCTCCAAACAAAGCTATGAGAAACTTCCAGCCTACTAGCAATACGTCTGGTACTAATGCCGGGTTCGTTAAGTACAGCGTCAATTACTTGCTCTTCTTGACCAGCATTGTGTCTGAAGTTCGCACCTCCTGTATGCTTGCTTCCAATACCATTTCTTCGGAGTCTTTGATATGCGTCTGAAAATACACGGCGGGATGGTTGTCGTTTATTTGGAAATCTACGCAGATATTCTCGGGAAGCTGCAGAAGCATTTCCATTTGCGTACCCGTAAATAAAAACAATGTCTGCATATTCTTCATTCGTAAATTCCATTTTGTTTATAAATTTACAATAAACTGACAGGTTGTATGACAAATAAGGCAGAAGACCACATATACGTTTCCATGGATGTATATTTTGGTTGCTAGAATTATGAATCCTATTATGGCATATTGTTATCCTTTCATTGTTTGAATTCAAAACTTTGAACTCGAATAACTCGAAAACGAAAAATGATAGAACAAAAAAGTATTAAAGATTTTTATTTAGAATGACGTTTTGAATATAGAATTTCATTGTTCGCCTCCTGGTATGAAACACCCTGTATAACATGTGGTTAACATTTGTGTCAAAAGATCAAAATTATTATTGTTACAGTGGCGGATACAGAATTTTGAACGTTATAATTTGGTTGTCCATGTATAAATCTGTAAATAGCAAAGATACAATATTGCCCATTTTTGCTTTCGTGTCAAAAGATCAAAATTATTATTATTACCTAATTTTAACTTTTTATTTTGGGAAAGTGTTTAGAAAATTGTTTCCTATCCTTTTAAATAAATAAATAAGCTCAAACAATAAAATAAAGTTTAATTTTTAAACCCTTATAAGTTATTTACCTTAATAATTATTATTGTTGATAGTGTCATTTGGGTAATTAAGGTAAACTTACACAAAATGTCCTGGTTTTGTTGACATATAATGGGAACCCTACTTTAAGTGTTGATAACAAGTTTTTTCCTCTTGGCTTTTTTTTTAAATTTTATATTGTTTAATATAGTCACGGCCAAATCTATATGGGTGCACGTCATCAATGAGATATAATGACGTCAGCATTACCAACTTTGAATTGTAAAGTTACTGCCGTTAAATTTGCTTTTTTAAGGCGTAATTCTGATGTGTTATTAAAAAGAAATCATTCATTTGCGTATTGTTTACCAAGAACTGTAACAATTTCCTTGTTTTAAAACGTTTTTTCACGAAATTATCAAAATAAAACCATTCACTTAGTAATTTTTGTGTGTGCCAGTTGGTAATAGCTTAAGGCTGGCGCGCACCGTTCAATATTATTGATGGGTCGCTGTCATTTTATATTTGACGTATTTTTGTAATTGTGACATTTCGTCCGGAAGCATCGTTTGTTGCAAATTATTATAAATAATATTATACATTATGTTTATAAGATTCTATCCCTGGATTGTGCAAATAATGATATAAGGCTTGTTGGCAACTAGCCGTTATTAGATTTCGAAGACATTGCGCCCTTAATAATAAATTTGGGGAAATAATCAGACTTCAATTCTGACCTGGTTTGCTCTGATGACAAGGACGACTGGTAATTTATAATTTTTGTGTTTCTGATAATTTAGTATTTTTTTGTTATGTGCATATGTAATAAAAATGTAATAAACTCCGTTTGATTTTTCTTTAAACACATTTAATAAAAATTTGCCTGTAACAAACTCCTAATTAGTTAGTGCAGAAGATTATAACAAGGACGTTATAATTCCATCTTAATAACAGCCCCCACCGCTATAAACAGTCAACAATACACGAGCGTTAGATTGTGTCTGGGCACGTATGAATAGACCTTAACGCTGACGTCATATGCCGTTGATGACGTGCACCCATACAGATTTGGCCGCGACTATAGTGTCACACAAGTTTTTAATTAGTTTAAAAGGGAAGTATTTTATAGTACAATCAGATCATTACTCTTTCTTACTTTTTCCAGCTCATCTATATTGGGTGGAATTTCATTGCCTTCAACCTTTAACATAGACTTGTGCAATTCTTTGCAATAAGGCCTTTGCCTTGCCAAAACATTATATTTTTGTCTGATTTCTTCAATGCTTTTAGACATACCCAACCATAGTATGTACTGAGGTTTAAGAACATTGCATACATCCTTGGGAGCATAGATGGCGCTCTGATAAAACTCATCTATTTTGTTTTCATTTGACACCAACATATGAAATCTAAAAAAATGAGTATATATATAATGTTTCTTTTATTGTCCCTTATCATTTTACTGAATCCAAATTTTGAAGCCCATAAAGTTTTAAGTATTTAAGTAAATGAAAGTTAAATATTTGGGCTTCAAACCTAAATTTCTTTAAAATATTATTTCTCTGGAATAATCCCTATTCATTAATTGCCAATTATGATACAAGAGAGAAAAATATGTAATTATTAAAAAAAATAAAGTAATTTTTCTAGAAAAACATATTAATAATTATTAATGATTATTAGTATTCCTCAAAGAATGGTATTTAAAAATTAATTTATATTTTATAAAAACGCTTCTTGGTATTGTTTAATAATTATTAAACTATTAATACTAATACCATAGAACATAAGACTATTACTTTCCTCTGATTTTTAATTTTAAAATTTTAATTTAGCTAATGTTTAGTAATAAATTAATTTATTAAGAATTCTTCCATAAAACAAATTTGTGTTTTTTACCTTAAAGACATTAACCAAAGTGGTAAGGCTTTTTCATTTAATGCTTGGATGCCTCTTTTTAGAGTAACATTTACTTCATTTTCATTGTCTTTCATTACTGCAGCCTTAAGCCTTAATTTCCATAGTTCAACAGATTCTGGAATGGATTCAAGTCCTTTTTCAAGGATTTCAACAATCTCTTCCTTTATTTCTTTTTTCTTAAACTCAATTTCACTTTCCTCCATTTTATCATCAAGTAATTCTATCCAAACAATGTAATGTTTTTCTTTTAGAATGTCTTCTTCACAGGCATCTTCAAGAGCAGCCTGAAGAGTGGTGGTTTTTAGTTTTGAAGCAACTTTTCGATCTTGTTGAACAGAAATAAGGTAATCCAAGTAGTAATGCCATAGGTTTTTCTTTTTTTCGCCCTCAACTACTTTTAAACCTTCCTGGTACTTCTGAAAACATTTTTCCAAAATTTGCTTTGTAGAATCAGTATTCTGATTTAGCTCTAAAATATTATTAATAAATAAAAATTATTAAATTTTATATTTTTTAGTACTGTTAAGTTCCCTCTGTGCCAATGTATGCCAAACCAAATCCTCCCCAGAATAACTTTCAATTAATTTTTCAACAATCATTTCTTGTGATTCTTGTGTAGATGGGTATTTTTGAAGCATCTCAAGTAATTCAATATAAAAATTAATGTCAGGAATATCGTGGAAAATTGTATCCAAATAGGTTTTAATTTTTAAATTTAATGTTTTAATTTTGTAAATCTCATCCTCCAAAGCATTCTCGGAAATATGTTTTGGTTCTCCAGAAAGTAACAACTCAAATGCTTCTCTATATAAAGCCTGACTGTCTTTATGGATTGTTAATCCTTTTAGTAGATGATTAATAGCATCTTTTTTGTTGTTTTTTTCATAAGCATAATATTTTGCTATTAAAATCCATGCATCCGGTTGTTGAGAGTAATGCTAAAATGCATAAGTAATAGTAAACACACTGAACCAGAACCTCGTAACTAGTGGAAAAAATTAGTGGTTTCAATTATACTTATTAATTATAATATAATTAACACAAAACGATCATTCACAATGCGCAAAATTAACATCTAAAATTAAGGAAATTTGCTAAAAGATTGTCCATTTTTTTTAACCTGACATATACAATATTAATTATATTAAAATTATATTTTTTACAACCATTACAATAATATTTTTATATCATTACATTCACTTAAAACTTTTTGCTTTTGACATAAAATATCTGTGCACATGCTTTCCAATTATAATTAGTGGTAAAAGTTTGCAAACTTTTTCCACTAATCGAAAAGTACTACCACTAATTTTTTGGTTGTGAACAACACTGTGTATATTCATAAGACAAACTTTTACGTTAATTGAAACCAGGGCCGAGCCTAGGGTATCTGCCGCCCGGGTGCAAGAATTAAATTTGCCGCCCCCATTAATGTAAAAAATTAGGTTGTCGGTAGGGAAGGAGTTCATAATTTATCATTCTCAATAAACATATAACAAATTTTATAGTAAAATAACAAAGTATTTATTAACAAATACATAAAAGAATAAAATTAAAATACGTTCAGGAAAAAAAACAAAAATAATTAAACTAAACTAAAAAACTAAAATCTACTTTTCTCGCTTTTTTAATGGCAAATTCCCTAATCAAGACGCCTACATCCAAGTTGTTAGAAATATCTTCTTCAATACCTACTTATAATTGCTAAATTTGAAAGCCTGAATTGACTTATATTGGATCTTAAATAGGTCTTAATTAGTTTTAATTTCGAAAATGACCGCTCTCCATGGGCAACAGTAACTGGCATCGTCAAAAATATTCTTAAAGCTACAAATAAATTCGGAAAGATGCCTTTTAAATCATTAACTAGTTTTTAACTTAAACGCATTAAAAGACAAAAGAAACTACTATGTTTGCATCCTATTTGCCTCACGTTAATAGAAAAACTAAAAATTGCTGAAATACGCAGCCGTCAATTTGGAAGAAATTATGCTTTAACTTAACAGTTCAGCTTGTAAACAATATGGTTTCCCGTAAGCCCGCTTCCGAAAAACATGAAACTTGACGAACTCGAAGCGGACGGACGGAAAGCGAAGCGGGCGGGCAGTAATCTATAAACCGGGCTTTAAGAAAATTGTCATCATCATTTTTTGTGGCTATCGCGCGTTCGATTATGTCTTTTTTATCATTGCCGCCTGACAGCACAATTTTGGCATTGTTTTTATGTGTAGAATAAAAACAATGATTCCTTGAAACGCCGACATCAATAAAACGCAAGTGATTTTTAGAAAGTTTTTTGCATATTGCAAGGTTGCTTTTTTATTCTTGATAATTTGATACAATTTTTTTGATGATATTTTGCCGCCCTGTGTTAGTGCCGCCCGGGTGCCATGCACCCCTTGCACCCCTGGCACGGCTCGGCCCTGATTGAAACCACTAATTTATTCCACTAATTAAGAGGTTCTGAATGAGGCTTAAATAAGAATAAGTAAACAAAATCAAAGTATTTACATAAAATACCAACCTTTAAAATATTATTTATAGCATGATTCAGTGCTGTAGTGTTATTACTATCTTTACAAAACTTAAAATAAGCTAAACTTAGTGGATAGTCATTTGGAAACTTCTGTATGGATATTTCATATAAAGTTTGAATTCTTTTAAGTATTTTAAACTCAATACCAGACTTTCGTTCAAAAATTTTCAATTTATCTCTTCTTAACTTAATATTCTTAAGCAAATCTTTCTCATGCTTAATATAGGCTTTAAAATCAATAAGGTTCTTATTTACACCGTTCACTTTACATTCAAGATCTTTTCGTGTTTTAATCAACTTGCTATAAAGAAAAGGAATCATTAAAGGTTTTTAAAATAATTTAACTTACTTTATTTCAGCATTTTTGTACAATTTAATCCTTAACATCTCTCCAAACTCTTCGGACATCGATTCCATGTGTCTGTTGACATTTTCCATTTTTTGTTTACTCTAGTTTTACGTTAAATTAATAAAATACGAGGCACGTGGTGCCAAACTTTACGTGAAAATGAAAACAACCACAGAACATAACTCAGGAACTCACATAAAGTAAGGTTAGGTAGTTGTCAATTATCAGTGCTGCCAGCACAAAAAAAAATCACTAAGGGACCGGACTTTTAAATATTTAAAATTATGGCGGATTTGCATGCAAACCAATTTGTTGGAATTACCTAATTACCTAATTACCGTAAAGTGGGGTAACTTCGGGCGTAAAATTAAATTTACTTGCTCTGCTATCTCGTGATGAGCAGCTCAACGTTGTAAATCTGATTACTGTAGTTCAAACAACACCCTATAGGGTGGCAATTTGTTGTTATAGTGGTCACCAGTGGTGACTCACCACTAAGTGGTGTAATTTTGTCTAAAGGTAAGTTTATAAATAAACATAAATTATAAATTTATAGAAATCACGATTTATAACTAATGTAGATCTTTAACATTAATAACATTGAGTTACTCAATGTTAATAACATGGATTAGAATAGGCATTTGTTATTCTAAACCGAGGTATCAACCCAAATTTCGGGAATTGAAAACATTTTGCTGGTCTGTTTTAGATTACATATAGCATAAAGGTTTTATAACAAGTAATTACTTAGCTTATAATTATATAGCTATAGCTATTAATAGCTATAATTATATACCTATATGTTTTATAACAAGTAAATTTACTTTTTATAAAAGATATAGGTTATATGAGTACATTAGATGCACAACTCTGTATTTGCAGGATAAGTGATTTTAAGAAAAACATGAAAAACCGCTCTTATAAGAACATTTTTGAAAAAAAATTTAAAAATTGTATAGACGTGCTTCTGCATCATTTTTATTCAAAAAAGTAAAAAAAAAATCCTTTAAAATTCCCAGATAACCAGCGTCCTTCCGTTTGCCGGTCAGTTGCCTACTATTCGTTCTCTTGATATGGTAGCCGTTTGCTGTCAAGTGGGTGCCACCATTTGACTGTCTGTAGACAAAAATCTCTTCTAACAATATATTGTGTGCAATCCACCGGCAACCGACGGGAAACCTTTTGCTTATAATTATTGTGGACAACATAAGAGTTTATAGGCGGAAATGTTTCCTGACAACTTATAGTGTGCAACCCACCGGCAACACACGGGAAACCTTTTGCGTATACTGATTGTGGGCAACGGATAGGAAATGATTTACCTATTCAAATTCACTGAATTTGGTGGCAATTTGCCGATAACGAATCAGAAATTAAAATAAATTAATAAATGAAGCGTTGAGAACCAGAGTGGCCTTACCCACAAACATTTGTTCTAAAATGGGGTTATAATTTTAGGACAATATATATATATATATATATATATATATATATATATATTTGGGTGCTTTTTTTAACAAAGTTTTTCATTTCCGAAAAATATATTGTCCTAAAATGATTGTAACATCATTTAAGAAAAAACATTTGTGGGTTAGGCCACTCTGGTTCCAAACGCTTCATTTACCTATTCATTTTAATTTCCGATACGTTATCGGCAAATTGCCACCAAATTCAGTAATGCCTCATTTATTGGTATTGTTATTTTAACAAGAGGGTTAGGCGTAAATTTTCATACTCGAATTTTTTCAAACGTCGTTTTATTACAAAAATACCTATATTCACAAAGAAATAAAATATTATAAATATTTATATACACAACAGAATAACCTTATAAGCCGATAATTTATATAATAATAAATAATAATAATAAATGTTCTTTATTGAAAAAAATACATTTTTCAAAAGGCCATTGACTTTCGTCCTTCAGCCGGGAATAATAAATATATTTATTATTATATAAATTATCGGCTTCAAACAAGCGCAGCCTTATGGAATCTTCATTGTTTACGTTTGGATCTCGACGCTTAAGCCTGATTTATAGATTGCCTTTCTTCCTTCCTTCCTTCCGTAGAATATGAACAATACAAAAACCGTTGTGCTTTTTAAAGATTCCCATACGGGAATCTATAAATGGCACTACGTTTTTTGGTATTGTTCATCTTTTATGAGAGGAAGGAAGGAAGGAAGGAAGGAAGGAAGGAAGGAAGGAAGGAAGGAAGGAAGGAAATCTATAAATCAGGCTTTAGCGGTAATACGTTGACGCTGTTTTGCGGCAAAACTTTTGCCACTCGCCGTTACCTCTCTTTGAAGTTCAACACGCGTTGGTGGATCAAAGTTTTTATTGGTACCCACAGCTCCTGCAATAAATATATGTTTAGCAATAAACATATGTTTAGTTTGTATAAAACATTATTTAACATACCAAAAATAGCCCTAACAAGACCAGGGTTGTAAAGGGGATGATTGCCTTGCTCATCCCCCCATGTATATTGCATATCTCGTCGGAGATAAACTTCCTGAACAGTTTATGAATGTGTAAAGGCCCCATAATCAATCTGAAAAATAAAAATAATTTATTAACGCTTGGCTTGACAATTTTTTCAGTCAGATTTTAATTAATAATTTGATAATTTTTTACACTATGGTAAATTTTGTCGTTTCTTGCGAAGCATTTGGTTCTATTAAAATATCCACTAAATGTGTTTATGCACGATGACATTATAATATGACAATTATAACAAAAATTCTTTGACGTAAACGTCTTTTTATAGCCCGCGGGCGTTATTATGGCCCAGCGGGCTATAATGAAACGTCAAAAATTAAAAACAACAATGTTACACCATTTGATATATTCGAAGTAAGTTTTTTCGTATAAAGATTTTGATTTTTCCGGAAGCAGGCCGCAATTTTTCGCCTTTTCAGCAATTTCCTCAATTTCATTCATCTTTAAACTTTATAACTGACTGATGTCAGTTGACATTATAATATGACAATTATTACAAAAATTCTTTGACGTAAACGTCTTTAAAAATAGTATATTACACTACAAGGGCAGAAAGTGTGAGATTCCTGCACTGCGCGCCATGATGCCCGAGGCGAAGCCGAGGGCATCATGGCGCGCAGTTTAGGGCTCTCACACTTTCTGCCCGTGTAGTGTATACTATTTTTCTTGCTACCCCCGCAGAAAATACGGGAAAAAATTAAATGTATATAAAAAAACTTGTGTCAAAATTAAAATCTGACGTTTAATTTAATTCTGACGTTTACATTCAAAATCAATCAAACTGTAGCGTTGTCATGGTAATTCAGCGGTGCCAATACAGTAAAAATAAAAGGTTGTATTTTAATTAACAAATTACTACTTTATAACAAATAAAAATACCATTAAACACTTAAAACAACATAAAAAGTAAAAAAGTAAAAACATAAATTGTTTATTTGTTGTTATAATTGCAAAATTATGGTTTAAAACTGTCATATTTTTGTGTTTCTCATGTTGGCAGTACGAAATTTGAATGTTAAGCACACGACTAAAAAATTTTTACTCCCGCTATTAGAGTGTGCGCGTATAGCTTGACCAATGCAAGAAACGTAAACTTTCTGCCGTGAAATCGGGGACGAAACAACGTATTTTGAGTCAAGGTAGTAAGAAAACAATATTATATTAAAAATTATAATATATTAATCGTGCATAAAGTTTTGTATGCATTGCTGGCATAACTGGTTTTTATGGTCCTACGACGCTTTTCTAGCCCTCGCGCTAACGCGCTCGGGCTCGAAATAGCGCCTCGGACCATAAAAACCTTATTATGCCCTTAATACATAAATAACTATTATTCACGGCACTTTTTTGATTATCAAAAAATTAAAAAATGTTTAGCTGGTATTGTATACAAATATATTTAAGAGCGATAAAAATTGGTTCAAAAATGCAAATTTTACAAGGGCGGTAAGGTGTGCTTTATAAAAATTTGTTGTAGTATACTACAACAAATTTTTGTATACAAAAAAGATATTACATTAATTAATTAATTTAAAATTACTGCTATTATAATAGCTTCTGAAATTTTAAATAAATTAATGTTATTTGAATAAAAACCCTTATAAAATTATAATACTTCAAAGAAAAAACTACATCTTCAAAAAATCCTACATTTTTATAGCCTCTATTTAGGTACATGCCGAAAGAAGTTTCACTTCAATATAACAAATTATTTAAAAATTTACTTACGTCTTGGTTTCTTTTTTGTATTTTTTTTTATTTTCAAAGGATTTTTAGATTTTTCCATATGGATATAGGTACAGCTAAAGCTAATAGATAACTATTGCGTGCATAAAACATACCTGATAGATTTCTTGTTTATATTAATCAACACGTCGTACACACACTCGCAGAACAAACCATAAATTATAAAGAACAAATGGTAAGCAACGGTAGCGGGGACTCTCGCGCAAGCGCGGTTCTTTATTGTGGGAAATATGTTGGCCGTCCGTTGCACCTCTGTTGCATACAATTGTTGACTGGAATCTATTGAAAATAAGCGGCTATCTTGGGCGGAAACAAATTTCTTGCAGTTTTCATGCAACTGACCAACAAGGTATTTTAGGAAATGTGTTGCCTGTCGGTTACACCTCTGTTGAATACAACTCTTAATCAGAAATTATTGGAAATACGTGTCAAACTTGGGCCTAAACATTTTTCTTGCAGTTTGCATGCAACTGACGGGAAATGTTTTGGACTTCCAACTTATTGGCTTACTGTTGCATGAAATATGCCAGCTTGTTATTGCCGACAACGCGTTTCTTTAGGTTTACTAAGAAACTTTGGTTATCTGGGTTAGGTATTTTGGTAAATAATTGTAATCAAAAGATTTAAAAACATAGTTTTGCATCTTCCTCGATCAAAGATCAATTTTTGCAAGTGAAAAGTGCAAATACCAAAAAATAACAGGCGGTGCGGTGGGGCAAGTATCGGCCGGGCGCCCTACGAGGTTAGGCCCCCCCACTTGGCGGGCGTTCGCGGTACTGTCGCTACGCCACTGAGCGGTTAGCGACAAAACGCGAAAGTTAAGTATACAAGCGACGCACAGAGGCGAAAAATCCTAAATGTATGGTCGAAACTTTTTTTAATTTTAAAATCACGTGATTTACTCTAAAAAATATAAAAGCTAAAAAAATAAAATTTTCAATCGAATTTAATCATTTTTACACGCTCAGCTCCCTTCTTTTAACTAACTAA